GTTACTGGTGACAACTTTGATTATAGTGATAGTGTTTTTTTGTGTGTGTGTTTAATTTTTTTTCTTTATTCTAACACATCATCGACAGAGTAATTAGATCTGACGTTATCCTTCGCTATTATCTAATCAACATATAAGCCAATGCCAAAGATATGTGGAAGTTAATTCTATTCATAGAGAACAAAACAAAGGTTTCGCTAGTGGGCGCCAGTGCCTGGGGATAATCGTCAAGTCGACTGAATATAAACTAACCATCAGATCTCGATTCTCACCTCGTACAATGACTGTCTAGGGCAGGGATTACAAACCTTAGCTTCAGATATGGATAAGCATGGATGAGTATAATTTATTTTATTCATTTAAATTTTAAAAACAACTTGTATAGTATATCCTTAAGAGATATAGATGGGTATAGATGTTTTATGTCTGTGTTATCTAAAGAAAGAAAGAAAAAAAAATGGTGCGTGTACTAATGTACGCGCGTAAGAAGTTATACTTCTTTGGCTTTCTTAATTTTTTTAAATATTAAATAATAAATAATAAATATTTAACGTTAATAATAATTTAACCTTGCCTAAAGGGACTCCTTTTAATGATATATTTTAGTTTATGTTAAGTTTAGTTATTTATTTCAATGTATACAAAAAAGGGAATGACCAAAAAACCTAAAAGGTATGGTGACTGTAAAATTATATTTGATATACTGTAACTATTAAATTGTACTAATATTATAATATTTAATATTTAGTACATTATTCAATTATTAATTAATACTTATAATAATAATAATTATTTTATTATATTATTAATTCAATTTAATGACTAGGTATGTTTCATAACCTTTTAACTAAGTAACAATAGGTCTTTGTGTAAAAGCATTGCTAAATTTCTTTGAAAAAATAATTAAAACTCCTTTATTTGTTTAAAAGGTACTACAAATGTCATTATGGTCATCAAAAATCTTGGCATAGCTGCTAACTTCACGCATATTCTATTTCTTTTTACATGTAGATTGTCTTATTCCCATCTCGCTCGCGCACGCTCGGCGCCCATACTGATAATTTTGTGTCACGGTGCGCGCGCATCGTAAAATTTCACTCTCATCAATTTTTCATAACGCGCCTAAAGAAGTATAACTTCAAAAAGTTATCTTGTGGTTTTCATCTTCATTAAAATTTGTTTTACCTGACCAAAATTTTTTTTGCAGAAAAAAAAGGAAATTTTTGATGGCAGTAGAGCGTGACCTTATTGCTTATTTTCTCTATCCTGCACGCCGATGTTGAGTACTAGTTCAAAAAACGACCACAAACAATTGATTAATAGCTAAATAAAAAAAAAGAATTTTCTGATATGATTTCTGAACATAAACACATATAGGTGATTCTCACGATATTTCCGTTCAAGACATTGAAAGAAAAATCCATTGGTGCACAGACGTGATACGACCACAGGACCTCAGGTTTCGCTGGCACGCTCAAGCCAAACGCTAAATACATTAAGAAATAAAGCGCATTAACAGTAGAATGTAAGATAAAAATAAGGCAATTACTAATAGTAGTAAATATTAAGCTTTTGAAATGTCAAGTACACCGCTCACTTTTAGCCAGCTTACATACAATTTCAAGTTAAAAAATAAGGTACAATACAGTTTCCGCGATATATTTATGAAGTATATATTGTTTTATTCATGTTCAACACCCCTGAACTTGGCTTTTAACACAATGCGCTATTTTAGTGCAAAACTTTTATTGCACATAGAATACGAACAGATAAGGGAAGTGTATTTATAAAGTGTTTCTTTGAAATACATTTGTCCCTAAGCATACTTTATTCATAGAACTTACAAAAGTGGACTCTTTTTTCTTCTAGTTATTGGCATTTGGACCAATTGTCTATGAGTATATGTATACTCATTTTTCGTTATAAAAATAAAAAAGTAAACTAGTGTCGCTAACCTAGGTGTAGTCTCAAATTTCTGCATATGTTTCGTGATCATTTTTATTCTTATATATAAATAATTAATTTTACCTAGAATTCTTATTTAATTAATAAAAACCTACGTATCCGCTAAAAACTCTCAATAAATATAAATTAATGTTTTCATAGTCACAGTTGCTGTACTTTAACGTCGATGAAATCTTGCAAATAAGCTTCCAACTTTTTGATGATGTTGAAAAAACAAGATACAGCCTTTTGAAACAACCTTAATTGGCTTATCCGTAAAACAATATATTTTTAATGATATGTCATGTCTGGTACAATTAAAGAGTACTGATTTATGTAGGGACAGCTTGCTTGAACTTGCCTCCATTTATTTCATTCTTGTTTATACGACAATTTTACCTTTTAGGGTAAGAATAACTTCCATTCACATATCTTACTCGGTTTTAAACAAAAAAGGGCCAATATAAAGAACTATTTTCGGTAAATATTATTCAATTCGGTTTACCTGGTAGAAGGAACTGCGATCACAAGTTTTGGGACTATCTATGTTCTATAAATCAGTCTTGTTCAATTGTTTAAATATAATTTTTCTCTTTCTGACAAATTAGGTTTACACTATTATCGAAAAAGACTAATCAGTGCTTTAGTGAAACAGAGCTATGAGTGAATCTTTAAGTAAATATACCCTATATTTGTAGGTATGTTATTCTGTTTAAAGAAAACACTTTTTTACCGGATTGAAGTTATGTATTATTATAAATTTACAATTATTTTACATAATTTTAAATTTTTCCGATGTTTCGCGTGCTTTACAGCGTGCGAGGTCACGGTGACTGAAGACAAAAGGTGTTGAATGTCAAAAAGTATCACAGCTGTAGAAAAAGTTGTATTATCTGTATTTATTTCCCCGGAGTTGGTATCGACTAAAAGATGGAGGGTTTTGGCAGAAATGGCTCACGGTGAACAATCCGCGAAAATAGAGGACACACATTTATCGAATCAAATAGACTAATAAAATACCAAGTAAGGTTTATTATACCCTAAATTGAACGAAATTAATTATACTTCTATTAAATTCATTGCTTGAATTCACAAATTTTGTTAAATAGAACCTTTTGAAACCAATATACGGACAGGAAATTGTATCAGAGTCACGGAAGACATTGCATAGCCGTTCGTGATTGGGGCCGAAACAATCTGAAATCGTTTCCTTCATAAATGCAATGGGGCAATAACTGACCAAATTATACTTACACAGTTTGTACCTATGTGACTTATGGGTGTTGTTCAAGCTTTAGAAAAATTAAAATGTTCCCTCTTAATGCTTGGGATTTTAGGATGCTAGGGATTTTTTTAAGTTATACTTTTAGCTTCTATTTATGACTTCATCTTTCAAAAGTTTTTCAGAACAGTGGAGTGAACGCAATTTAAATAACTGTAATCAGATATTTTAATTGTAACAAAATGTTAGGAATATTTGTTCAAACCTAAAACCGAGCTAAATAGAAAATATAGCTACAGACATACATAGAGGAATACGGTAGTAAGTATGAAATTGGTTTCAAATGTCTTTTTTTTTAAACTTGTGTATTAATTAAGAACCCCTCTTCTTACCTAAATGTCAAGTAGTCAATATTCGGACTTCGATCACGTGGAAATAATAACATGCATTCGACCGTTACAAGTACAACCTCGATATTCTAAATAAAAAAAATTACACGGTTAGTGATTCATACCACTTTTCAGAGGTAATTGGAGCGCGTTTATTTATAACCAAGTAATTAGGATAACAGACTTTACCATATTGTCGCAATTAAGTCCCTCCCTGACCTCAATGCGACCAAACGACGTGACATCACTAAGAAATATGAGATGATGATTGCTCTATGTTTTTGATTAACATTTTTATGGCTATGGTTTAATTTTTATTAACCTCTGTTGTAGATGTGTTTCACATGTTTAGGTTATAACAAAAATTTATTTATAAAGCCATAAAAATTAGTAAGTCTCACAGAGTGTTTTGTCACCTCTATTTATTTGTAAAGTGACACGAGAACGATAAAGAAAAATAAATCAATAGCTAATAATATAGACAAAAGACAACCGTATAATAAAACATTATCTTTTTATCATCTATATAAATGACCGGACTATATTATATACTAATTGGATAGCCTATTACAATTTTTTTTTAATACACCAACCAACGCCAACAAAATAAAAACTTGTGATGCAGCAGTGTGCAAGCATGACTGATCTCCATGGTTCACCCTCTGGACCCGCCAATTCATGCGACTCTTACGGTTAGTTCAAGTTAAGTTTTAAACTAAATTTAACTTACAAATAAAACGGATGACCTAAAATGTATTTATGTCTCGTTTTATGATCGTGGTCTGCTTTTCTTCAAATAGATAATGGCTTTAAACGAAAATAACATATAATAACATAAAAGGGCAAAGCGTTTAATGGCTTTCTTTGTAACAATAGTTATTACTAAGCTACCTATATTAAATGTAGTAGTCGACTCTGGATTCGAGCCAGGAGCCATTCGATTTATACGCTTTAATTGATTGAATTTATAATATACGTACGTTCGTTATTTTATTTATAAAATTTTATATATTTTTTATATTTTAAGGATTTAACGTTCATTTTTCTAGTTAATTAATAAGTTAAAACTAACATAAGCTTTTTCCTGATTAATTAATGATATACTATGATAACAAAAAAGATTTTAGAATTTAAAAAAATTGTACACATTTTTTGCCTAGATAAGTCTAACATACTGGACTTAAAATTAAATAAGAATAATTTATATTGCACAAAGCAGATTAAATTAATCTACGATATGAAAGAGATCATAACTCATTGCGTCGAATGAAATAATTCAGGCCACAATGGAAAGGGCTGGATAGTGTATTGAACGTGGGAACTGACCATTGAGATCTAGGAACATATTTTATTCCTATACTCTATAATACAATAGTTATTATATGTTTGAAAAAACGCTCTTCACTTAAAACGGCTAATATTCGGTAAAACACATAATAATACGCATGTCGGGACCAGTGGTAGAACACGTGGGCACGTGGACGTGGGTAAGTGTAAGAATATAAATGGTCGAAGATAAAAGGTGACGAAGGCCTTGGTACTTTTTGTAACAAAAACTACACTAATCACTCGAGTTTCGATGGTATACTTTACTGTGCGCTTGCGACTTAGTTCTCGTGAATACGTAGTCACACAGCTTGCAGCTGCCAATCACACTAATATAATTATTACATGTCGCAGCATTGCATAAATCACTCCAAAATATTTTAGCAGTATAAAACTAGTGAATAATTTTTCAGACCCAAAGATCTTCCTGCAAACAATCTTAAATACTTGTTATAATAATGTTCTCCAGGCTGACTCAGTCATGGCGGCCAATCTCTATTGAGACTGGAGATTTTACAATGCCAGATGCATTTTACAATGCAGAGCAAAAGCGGATCCTCTATCCTCATACTCCGATGGCCGGATGTCCGACACGACCGCTTAGGTGCTCATCGCACTGCGATGTTCAAACGTCGCCAATTTGAGGACTTAAATAAAATCTTGTTTAAATAGAATTCGCGAATTTTAATTATTCCCATCCGGTACTCGAGACCTTATGATAAGCATGGCTGCTCTTTTTATTATAGATTAGGCAACAGGTTTGTGGTCAATACTCTCTTTTAACTCGTAAGAGAAAGCTTATTAATATGACCTCACATGGCTTTACATACCGACCCTGGGATACTTGTATTTATTTAGATAACACCTATACGAATTATCATTTAAATGTCAGTGTTGTTAGTTTTAAAAGTTGTAGTTGTTTGTCTTCGGGCAGAGCTTATGCTTAAAAGTATTGTGTACGGTTTACTAAACGTAAAAACCTTTTAACAACAAAACTTTTTTAGTGCTAAGTAATACATTCGCGTGTATAGCAAATTTAATAGTATGTAAACCTTATGTTCTTAATATTAGAGTAATAAAATAATATAGATAAAACTATAGTATAACTAAATTATACACGTCATATAAATTCCTGTCACTATTGTTTTTATAATAGCAGTTATAAAGGTCGCGTGCTCTGGATTCCATACGAGTAATCTCTCTCTTACACATACAAATTGATGTAAAGGTGTGTAATAGCATTGCAAATGTAAGTTTTTTTAGTGTAAGCAAATTATTCTAAGATTATTAGTTTTTTTAAAGCAATATTTTTTTTAATTTAAATATTGAAATTAAAGCTCACCAAGATGTTATAACTTTTGAATAGATGTTTCGATTAAATGAGGTAATATCTCTTTAAAAGGTCGAAATTAGAAAGGTATAACAATCCTAGTAAGTGAAAAGCTTTCGCCCAGCCCTCTGGGAAATAGCTTGTATGACTTATATAACGTTGGTTGACGTTATAATTGTAATTTTTCCTTTGGGACCAGACGTGGTTTTCACCATGTATGTACGTTTATATAAGGTGAAAATAACTATTATCATAATTCTAATTGGTAATTTATGAGTGCATTGGCAATCTTACTTCCAGCCTACAAAATTAAAAGGCTCGCTTAAATACAACTAATACTATTGTGCAATGTGAGATGTATCTGTTATTGTTATTTCTAATATCGCCAATAGCTACACAATATTTAACTTCATGTATTCATAAATAAAAATAGTGTCAGTTGAAATTGAAATCAATGTTCTGTATTAACTAATTATTAAATAATCTTTGAAAATAATCAAATTTTTCACATTTCCAGAATTCGAACAATGGAGAGTACGCCACACGGAGTTTACCACGAGTAAGAATTGATGGTGGCCAAGCTGGTAATCCAGGAGTGAGATTACGATGCTGGGCAGCTCCACCTTCGATTACAGAGGAAGAGGCTGAGGATGAAATCGAAGAGGATGCTGTATCTCTACGAGCTCTACCTGTGCAAGGTATTTATTTATTATTTTACATAATGTTTAATTACTTTAAAGTAAAGACCAATTAATATACTAAGTCGCCCATGTTTATTTTGATTTTTTTAATATCTTTTATATTAGTCAACATTTTATACCATGAAGTTTTGTCATATTTAAATTTAACTGCTTTAGTTGAGCGCCATCTATTAGGTATAAATGTGTTCCTGGATGTCACATAACGTTATAAGTTTATTCTATTGAACAAGAGATGTCGCAACTTATATGGTGGCGTCATCTATATGACGTCTTTATATAGCGTTTATATTTATATTTTGAATAGCGCCATCTATTAGATAACTTTGGATACGTAAAAGTTAAACTAGATGTCGCTTTTACAAATAGCGATTGTGATTGCGATACTTATTAGTATTTCTATTGGATACACGATGTCGCTAGAGCATATCTTTATACATTCCATGATTACGTCTTATTTGTATTAGCTGCCGTGTTTCTTATGTTTTATATTTCGTGGACTGAACTGAACTGACATAAAATTAAGGAGCACTATATAAATATCATTTTGGTTTTTGCAAAACGTATACCTAGGTCGAAGTTTTAAATTTAATTTTCGATTATGCAATATTTTCTTTTATTATTATTCAGTAAACTTAATACATTACTCTCCACATCACTCGTCATTAAAACTCAGAAGCGGTTGAAAATGTTAATTGACTCGATCTCAAATTAGTTGGGTGACTTTCATGCAGCCCAACAAATCGATTTCAAGGATTGTCATGCCTAGTGTAAAGTTTAGGGTACAGCGGCTACTTTTTACATTTGAGACATAAAATTTTAAAATATATCAAATATGGACTTTAATTCAAAGCATTTGTTATTTCATGTCTCTTCTGGATTTTGGCAATTTTGATAAACCCGTTACTTTATATTTACTTAAACCCAATTATAGGCAACACAATATATAAGTTAGTCCGGCTAGTTCTTGGTTTTACTGAAGCGAACATGTTTAGTATACAGCTCGTTTTAATTGACATTGCTCCCTTGTCCCGTGTTCACATTAAAACAATGTACCACTTAAAGGACTTTAACCCTTTCTTTGAACTTAGTCAGCTTGTAACAAAAACTCTGAGTATAAAGATGAAGAAAAAAGTATAATTCAAAAACAAGAAAACCTATTTGCATTTTTAAGTATTTAATAGTTTTTAAAAGTGCTACGAATTTCAAACGTTGTCTATTTTTAATCTAATAATGACATTTTTTAATTTTACATTAAAAAGAAAAAGATAGATGTAGTATTGAAGGATTTCATGCTTTGGCTAAACTTAAAAATACCTCGGACGTTTTTCAAACCGAATGTTTTAAAAAACCAGCAAAGCAAGAAACTACGATTGACGACTCGGAAATAGAAGACGTTACCGGTGAAGCGAGGAATAGAAATTTCTAATTTAGTACGGTGCTTTTTGCTGCCCTCAATCCGTTTATTTTGTAACACTTGGTAAAGGATTTAAAAGATATCTTATCTCGCAAGAATTATTTAACCATAATCTTTTCATAACACACACGCAATATATAGGACAATATCGGTAAATGAATGCTTTTGCTGAGTTAAACAGCAAGACAGAACAACACGCTTGACGATAGACTAATTATATGTCACAGAACATTAATTATTTATGAACAATTTCTTATGGCCACTGGTACTGATGGATCAACAAGGTGGACAATGCCCTTTGCAGGCAAAGAAGTAAGTTAGAATCACTGGTAGAACTCAGCTTTATTATTGTATTAATGTAATTAAGTTATTTATGAGAATCCTTTTAACTTTCTGAAATAAGTGAAAAAGTTATTATATGTGTGGCGCGCGATATCTTTGTTATTTTTATCTCACTTTTTTATTCGTGCGATCTCGTATTCATCACCTACATTATTTCAATTAATTAGTAAATATTTAATTTATTTCTAGTATCCATCATTATTTGGATCATCAAATGATTTTGGAGGTCATGACCATACATTTCGACTAACAATACTTTAGAGGACAATAATGATGATTGTGTCATATTGGAGAAGCGTTACTGTAATGAGTGATATGTTTGATAATTTCTGCGTCCATCGTGGTTGCAGTATCCTCTCTATACAAAGTTTAATTTTGGGTATTTATATTCCAACACTTGTTAAATTACAAAGTTCTTTGACATAAATAAAATGTTCTTGTTTAAATTACTAATAAGCCAAATTAAATAAAAATAAATTTATAGATACAACCATGTTTACATAAAATCGTAGTAATGTTAAAAAAAAAATATTCAAAATTGAATTCTTTTGTAAGTCCAGAAATTTATATTTTCGAAAATAACAATCAGGGAATAAATAAGGTTTGTGATGAAAAGTCACGCCTTTAAAAAAACTATAAGTTTTATTCGAAGAAAGACAACTATATTTTTAATTTCTATCATAATTATATACATCTGTTAATCCATACAAATGTTTTGCCTAGTTATAAAGCCAAAATCATAAATAATTATGATTATCATTAATATAAAGAAAATGATTTCCTCGCAAAACCAATTGACTCACAATGAGACTAAGTCTTGGTATTCCTGTTAAGAGAGCTGACCTGAATACTAATATTCTTAATGCGGTTAATATTGTCATCATTTTTGACCACTATTGTTTCTGTTAAGGCAAGTAGAGGTCATACGGGTGGACGAAAAGTCCGTTAGTTCTTAAATAATTAAACACCTCGCTATGAAGTAGAGTCCTTGTAAGTGTTGTTATTTGCGTACATACAAAAAAAATCATAGATGAAACAATTGTTGCCGGAAATCGAAGCCAGGATTTCCAGGAGGAGTTTCATACTCCACATACATAAGACAGTCGTTACTTATAATTCGTTGTAAAGCCTGATTATATAAGTAAACGAACATTTATAAATAAAAAATAGGTAAAAAAAACTTTTTAAGTTAAACGGTTTTATGTTAAACATACATTGCAATGTTTAAGATAAATGTACTAAAAACCAAAAAAATAATAAAATAGATACAGTCGTGGGAATTATAAGCATATGCATAGACTAGACTAAAATAAAACCGTGGGGCACGTCAATTGTCTACAAATTATCGACTTAATGTGCGATAGAAGAATCGTTTAATTCGTCGTTAAAATAGGCAGTTGGCCCGCAGACGGTCAGGAAATTACTTACTATTTTCTTGCTCATGGAAATTCCAATAGTTATACACTCCATGTAAATAAAAGAGATGTTTCAACTAGTTTATCGTTGGACATTCACACTGCTGGCTGGCGAGGAATCGTTTCAACAGACAATTGACATGCCCCACGGTTTTATTTTAGTCTAGTCTATGCATATGTTTATAATTCCCACGACTGTATCTATTTTATTATTTTTTGGATTTTAGTACATTTATCTTAAACATTGCAATGTATGTTTAACATAAAACCGTTTAACTTAAAAAGTTTTTTTTACCTATTTTTATTTTCTAGTTTTTAGTTTTTATTTCGCATTCTGTTTAATTCATTTAGTGCTTCATTATTGCAAGGTTCCTTGCCCGTTAGTTTATATAAATAAATCAATTCTATAATACAAATATAATATATATTTAATTAATAAAATAGATACAGTTTTTAATATAATGTTATATATTATATAATATTTATTTATTTATTTATTTAGTTTATTGTATTGTCACCAAAATCCAAAGTGTATACAAAATTTCAGATTAATCGGTTGACAGGAAGAGGGTGAAATTTGAATTACTAAATTTGACCCAAGAATAAAACAAACGGGGTGAGCTAAATAAAACCATTTAAAAATTAGATTGAGTGTGTGCCTCAGTGAATCAAATGATTCACTGAGGCACACAGGAAAACCAGTTGATAATTTAAACCACAAAAATGATCTATAAGGAACAGGAAATCAACTGTTTTTCTTACATAAACGACTTGTTGTAGTATAATTGTAGTTAATTACTTTTAACTATTTGTTATTATATTATAAAACTATTTTTTTAAACGAATGCGCTAATATAGTTATATAATTACATTCCTACCCATCTATCTCTATATTAAAATATATCAAATGAAAACGTAAGACACATGTACCAATTCGAATGGAAAATTGATGTACCGGTTATGGCTTCTTATATAATGTGAAAAATCTTGAATTAAATGTCAAGTTTCTCACTGTACGTACTTGAAATCGTGGTTTCCTTTTAAGGCCCGTTCTCGCTCAGACAGGCGTTATTGAACTTTCGTACCTATCTATATAGAAAGGATTAAATTGTATCTAGCCGGTGTTTTATGAAGAAAATCTTCTAGAAAACTTGTGTATGTGTTTCTGAAGTCAAACAGCTTTTGAATTGTTTTTAGGACATATTTAGACTTGGATGTAGCGGAATTTTATTATTTAGGATGGTATATTAAGGTGTGATTGACTTTTTCCCGAAGGTGTAGGAAGAGACCACGGATCACCACTTGCTACGGTCCTGCCATACCTCTCTCGCTTCATCCACTTTCATGACGTTCATGGTTCATGGTAATGGGTACTTTTGACCTGTCCCTTCTCTAGTAACTGTGCTAGATTATGTTCAGGTATGTACGACGAAGCCAACCCGACCCAATCTCACCTTCAACGGTTGCCTTGTATATCGTACTTGTAAACCGCTTCTCAATCATAATTTCTACATGATCAAACTTTCGAAGCATTCCCTTTCGTATCCTTGTCATTACGTCATAATACTAAAATAGGTTTATTGTAATTAAATTACTGATATCTATGTACTAAAGCTCGTTAAAGTAACTCACAGTCACAAATCCTTGTTCTCCAAAATAATGGAATCCATTGTTAATTGCCAGCTCTTGAGGTATCTAGAGGGCCACCAGCTGATTAGCGATTATCAGTACGGCTTTCGTCGTGGTCGTTCGGCTGGTGACCTTCTTGTATACCTTACACATAGATGGGCAGAGGCAATTGAGTCCAAGGGGGAGGCGCTAGCGGTTAGTTTGGACATAGCGAAAGCCTTCGATCGGGTGTGGCACAGAGCACTGCTCTCGAAGCTTCCAGCCTATGGGCTTCCCGAGAAATTACGCGATTGTATCTCCAGCTTTCTGGCCGATCGGAGCATCAAGGTCGTCATCGACGGAGCATGTTCCGACCTAAAACCCGTAAACGCTGGGGTCCCACAAGGCTGTGTTCTATCCCCGACCCTATTTCTTCTGCATATCAATGATATGTTGAAACTTAGCAACATTCATTGCTATGCGGATGACAGTACTGGGGATACTTTTTACACTGGCCGGGCAGGTATTTCTCGTTGATGAGTACCGGAACAAACTTGTGTCTGAAGTTGAAACTCTACTACGTGGAGTCTCAGATTGGGGCAGACAAAACCTAGTCCAATTTAACCCCAAGAAGACACAAGTTTGCGCGTTTTCCGCTAAAAAAACACCCTTTGTCGCTACTCCTCTTTTCGAAAACACTCTTCTTAAAGCCACAGCCAGCATTGGAATACTTGGCGTTGACATATCGAGCGACGTTCAGTTTCGCGGTCACTTGGAGGGAAAGGCTAAATTAGCCTCCAAAAAGCTTGGTGTGCTCAGCAAGGCGAGACGGTACTTCACTCCGGGCCACCGCATGCAACTATTTAAAGCGCAAATTCGGCCCCACATGGAGTACTGCTCTCACCTCTGGGCGGGGGCTCCCCAGTACCAGCTCCTTCCACTTGACCGTATACAACGCAGAGCGGTTCGAATCGTCGACGACCAATCCCTCTCCGAGCGGCTTGATCCTTTGGCGTTGCGTAGAGATGTGGGGTCACTCTGCATCTTCTACCGCATTTACCATGGAGAGTGTTCAGAGGAGTTGTTCGGATTAATACCTGCAGCTGAGTTTCATCATCGGACGTCGAGGCAGAATACGAAATTCCACCCGTATCACCTCGACGTCCGACGTTCCACAACTGAGCGTTTCTCAAGGCAGTTTTTGCCACGCACCACCACTATGTGGAACCAGCTGCCCACTGAAGTATTCCCGAACCAATTCGACTTAGGGTCCTTCAAGAAAAGAGCGTACCAATTTTTAAAAGGCCGGCAACGCACTCGCGAGCCCTCTGGCATTGAGAGTGTCCATGGGCGGCGGT